AAATGAGATAGAGAATTGATGAATGCCATGAAATCATGACTTAAATGTATGATCTTGATGATATACTTGTGATTGTGATTGTGGTGTATGAATGAGATCAGTTGCCACATTCTGACATAACTAACTTAGATCGGTTGCCACATTCTGGCATAACTAACTTGAATTGATTGCCACGTTCCGACATAAAAATAGGATCGGTTGCCACGTTCTGGCTTAAATATGGGATTGGTTGTCACGTTCTGACATGCTAATTGTTTGGGTTTGGGTTTCATGAGAGGACCAATGATTTGACATAAGATGTGAAGTTGTTTGTTGTTCGTAAATGTTGATGATATTGTATATGTTGATATGTATGCATGTGATTATAATGTTGTTTGTCTTGTTTATGTTGCACTAGTGGGATAGCCGCGTGATCCTACCAGTACACTGTGGTTGTGTACTGATTCTGCACTTGCTCTTATTTTTGTTGAGTACAGGGCATCTTCAAGCAACTATTGACAGACCTCGCTTAGAAGATCAGTGATCGTCGCTTCGAATTCAAAGGTGAGCCAATTCTTCCGGGCTGCCATGAAATTCTCTTTCGTCTATGTCCACCATTTTCGGACTTAGACATTTGTTTTAGCTAGTTGATTAGTTCATTAGATTGGGGTTGCATCCCTTCTTGTTTAGACTTGGTTCATTGTTAGATGTTTTGGTACATTGACTTTCATGTTCTAGGTTAATTCTTCCGCATTGTTAGTTATTATTGTTAGACTTTTGTTAGAGTTTATGGGAACTCTATTTTTATTTCCTTAGTGGTTGATTTAAATGCCTTAGTTTTTAGATTATTTGCTTGATTGGGTTGTAGTAGTGGTTCTCCCATCGGAGTGTTAGTGTGGGTGCCAATCACGACGGTTTGGGTCATGACAAAATTGGTATCAAAGCCTAGGTTCGTTGATCTCGATGTGCCAAAACGAGTCTAGTAGAGTCTCGCGGAACGGTACGGGGACGCCTTTACTTTTCTTCGAGAGGCTATAGGACTTAAGGAAATCTCTCTGTTTTCTCTTGTCTCCTTTCGTGCTATGACTTTATTTTAATTGGTATCTGACGATTCAAATTGGTATCTAACTTTCTTCACTCTTCTGTTCGCAGATGGTTAATACTAGATTCAACGATGTTAGGCCCGTAGCTCTCGTCAATGCTCCGGTTGAGGAATCTGCAGCGAGAGGTCGCGATCGAGGCAAGGGTAGAGGAGGAGCTAGGGGAAGATACCGTGGAAGAGTAGAACCTGCCGGAAATAGAGCTCATGTTGAGAATGCTCCTATGAATGAGAACCCTCATGTGCTTCATGAAAAGATAGATGAGAATGTTGATGTTGATATTGATATTGAGGATTTAGGACAAGAGGGAGAGGTGCAGGTTGAGACTACAGGTGTTCCTCCTTTGGATCCAGTGTTGGCTCAACAGATCATGTCGTTCTTAAAGGGATTGGTTGGTACTGGAGTGCTTCCTTCTGCCCAAGCAACTCAAGCTCCTACTAATCCTCTTGTTGCTAGCATTGCGCCCAAGGTGGGTGGGATTAGAGGTAATGATGATTTCTTCCGTCCTTTGTTGGGTTCTGTTATGACTGGTAATGAGCATGAAATGTTGACTAAGTTTCTGAAGCTAAATCCTTATGTGTTTTTTGGTTCTGAGAATGAGAATGCTTATGAGTTCATTCTGGATTGCTATGAAAGGCTTCATAAACTGGGTATTGTTCATCAGCATAGGGTTGAGTTTGTGTCCTTCCAACTTCAAGGTGAGGCTAAGCAGTGGTGGAGAGATTATATGGAATGCAGATCTTCTACTTTACCTCAACTTACTTGGACCCAATTTCATGCTCTGTTTCTAGAGAAGTATGTGCCTAGGACGTTGAGGGATCGCAAGAAAGATGAGTTTATGGCGTTGGAGCAAGGTGGTATGATTGTAGATTTGGGTGAATTTACCAATTCACCCCTCACTTGGTCGTGTCACTTGACACCGAGCAGGTGTGAACCACGAGACCTAGACTCACGGACCGTGAGTCTATTCATGGACCGTACTGTTGGTCCGTGGTCTGGGTCTGTGGCTTGGTTTGGAGGGGACTAACCTACAGAGGCCATCCATGGGGCATGAATGGACCTACGGGGCGTGGACCCCTTCCGTAGGTCACCCAAATTTGGCTAACTCGATGGTTTCCATGGGGTCTTGGGGTTTAGACTTAGGGTCCTCCTTAAGGACCCTTAGGGTGGATCCTTGGGGAGTCTTACCTTGACATCTAACCCATAAACACCTCAACTATGGCTCGGGACAACATTAAACCACATCAAAACTCAAGACAAACACAAACGAACACATGCTCTGTTTCTAGAGAAATATGTGCCTAGGACGTTGAGGGATCGCAAGAAAGATGAGCTTATGGCGTTAGAGCAAAGAGGTATGATTGTGGCTGCTTATGAGGCCAAGTTCCATGTTTTGTCTAAATATGCTACTCAATTGATGACTATTGGGGAAGAGAGAATCCGGTTATTTATTAGAGGATTAAATTTTGAGTTGCAAGTATTATCTGTTCATATGACTTCTGCAAGGAGAAACTTTAATGAAGTGACATACTATATTAAGAAAGTGGAGGGGGTGAGGCGAGACAGTCAAGCTAAGGCATGGGCAAAAAGGGCCAAGAACTCAGGTAACTTACAAGGTTCTTATTCTAAGGGGTCTGGAAGGCCAACGCTTGCAGCCAAGTCAATTCATTCTACTATGCCCGCCTCTACAGGTAGTTACTCGAAACCTCCATATCATAGTTTTCAGGATAGCCAGAGAGTCGCCCCTTCGACGAGCAGCAAACCATCTTTTGATCGTACTTGTTACAACTGTGGAGAACCTGAGCATATGAGGAGAGATTGTCCCCACCCCCGTGTGTTAGATTCCGTGCAGTAGCAGACTAGAGTAGTGGTACCCGCGGGGAATGGTAATAATGGTTGAGGGCCTCCACAAAGTGGGCGAGGAGGTAATTAGTGAGGCCGTGGAGGTAGAGGAAATGGTAATGGTAACGGAGGTAGGGGTAACGCGCAACTAGGCAGGGAAGTGGCTCGTCATGATGAGAGGGCTCAGTGTTATGCTTTTTCGGGCAAGAATAAGGCAGAGGTGCCTGATGCGGTGATCACATGTACTATTATTGTCTGTGATCGGATGGCTAGTGTGTTGTTTGATCCGGGTTCTACTTATTCATATTTATCCTTGATATTTACCTCAGATTTTGATATGATTTGTGATATTCTTGATGCCTCTATTCGTGTTTTTACCCTAGTTGGAGAGTCAATCATAGTTACCCATGTTTATCGTGCTTGTCCTATTTTGTTCATAGAATTTCAGACTTGGGCTGATTTAGTAATTTTGGATATGATTGACTTTGACATAATCTTTGGAATGACTTGGTTGTCCCCCTATTATGTTGTGCTTAATTATAATACTAAGTTTGTAACTCTAGAAATTTCGAGAAGGGAAAAATTAGAGTGGGAAGGGGTGTACAAGCCTAAGCAAGCTAATATTATATCCTCTATTCGGACTAGTAAACTGGTAGAGCATGGTTGTTTGGCTTATTTGGCTCATATTAGGAATGTTGAGATTGAGGCTCCATCCATTGAGTCTATTCCTGTTGTGTATGAATTTAGTAAAGTTTTTCCTAATGACTTGCCAGGTATGCCTCTGGATAGAGATATAAATTTTTACATTGATTTAGAGTCTGGTACGCGCCCATTTCTATCCCTCCATATCGTATGGCTCCGGCATAATTAAGAGAGCTTAAGGCTTAAATCCAATAACTTCTTGATAAAAGATTTATTCGTCCTAGTGCTTCCTTCCCCATGGGGTTCCCCAGTTTTGTTTGTTAAGAAGAAGGATGGTAGATGAGAATGTGTATAGATTATCGGCAATTGAATAAGGTCACTATTCGAAATAAGTATCCATTGCCTCGAATAGATGATCATTTTGACCAATTGCAAGGTGCATCAATTTTCTCTAAGATTGATCTAAGATTAGATTACCATCAATTGAAAATTAGGCCTGAGGGTGTGCCCAAGACGTCGTTTAGAACTTGCTACGGGCACTATGAGTTTTTGGTTATGTCGTTTGGTTTGACCAATGTGCCTACAACTTTTATGAGTTTAATGAATTGGGTGTTCAAGCCATTTCTTGATTCTTTCGTCATAGTATTTATTGATGATATTTTGGTTTATTCGAAAAGTAAGGAAGAACATGCCGACCATCTTCGTATTGTTTTGGGTGTTCTTGGGAAGCAAAGGTTGTATGCTAAATTTTCTAAGTGTGAATTTTGTTTGAAATCAGTTGCATATTTGGGGCATGTAGTTTCAAATGAAGGGGTAATGGTAGATCCCCAAAAGATTGAGGTGGTTAAGAATTGGGTTAGGCCTAGCTCTGTGACGAAAGTTAGGAGTTTTGCTGGGCTCGCTAGATATTATCGTCGGTTTGTGAAAATTTTTGCTTCTATTGCCACTCACTTGACTAATTTGATCATAAAGGGGATACCATTTGAATGGACTGAAAAATGTGAGGAGAGCTTTCAAAAGATCAAGACTCTTTTGACCACCGCACCTATTTTAGCACTACCGGTTGAAGGTAAAGATTTTATTGTTTATTGTGATGCTTCTCATTCTGGGTTGGGTGATGTGTTGATGCAGGATAAGAATGTTATAGCTTTTGTCTCACGTCAATTGAAGGTGCATAAGAGGAATAATCCAACACACGATTTAGAATTGACAGCAGTAGTGTTTGCTTTGAAGATATGACGGCATTACCTCTATGTTGTTAAGTGTGAAGTGTGAAGTGTTTACTGATCATCGTAGTTTGCAGCATATGTTCACTCAAAAGGATCTGAATTTGAAACAGTGAAGGTGGATGTAGTTACTTAAGGATTATGATGTGACCATCCAATACCATCCGGGCAAGGCTAATGTGGAGGCAGACGCTTTGAATCAAAAAGCAATATGGATAGTTTAGCTTGCTTAAGTGTAGCCAAGCGGCCTTTGGCTAAAGAAATTCAAAGCTTTGAGTCTAAGTTCATGCAATTGGGAATCTCAGAAAGAGGTGGGGTGCTAGCTAATATTGAGGTAAGGGCCACTTTCATTGAAGAGATCAAGGCCAAACAATTTGAAAATGAGAATTTAGAGGAACTTAGAAAGAAGACTGCGATGGGTAAGGCACAAAAGACCACTCTTGATGCGAATGGTGTGCTAAATTTCAAGGGGAGAATATGTGTTCCTAAAGTAGATGACTTGATTGAGAAATTATTGGCAGAGTCTTATGGTTCGAGATATACTATTCATCCGGGTGTGACCAAGATGTATAGAGATCTGAAGCGAATTTATTGGTGGCGGGGCATGAAGAAAGACATAGCAGAGTTTGTAGCGAAATGTCAAAATTGTCAACAAGTGAAATATGAACATATCAAAGGCCTGCAAATTTACTTCAAAGAATGTCAATTCCGGAATGAAAGTGGTAAATAATAGTCATGGATTTTGTGGTTGGTCTTCCCAAGACTTTGGGAAAATTTGATTCTATTTGGGTAGTGGTTGATAGATTGACTAAGTCAGCCCACTTTATTCTGGTAAGAATAGATTATAATGCTGAACAATTGGCTAAAGTTTATGTGAAAGAGATAGTGAGGTTGCACGGGATGTCCCTTTCTATCATTTCAGACCGTGGTACCCAATTCAAATCCAAGTTTTGGAGAAAATTGTATGATGAATTGGGCACATAACTCACTTTTAGTACAACCTTCCATCCACAGACATACGGGCAGTTGGAGAGGACTATTCAAGTGTTGGAAGACATGTTGAGGGCATGTATGATTGATTTTGGAGGGCATTGGGATAAGTTCTTATCTTTGTGTGAATTCTCTTATAATAATAGTTATCACTCCAACATTGATATGGCACCATTCGAGGCACTCTATGGGAAGGGTTGTAGATCATCCATATGATGGTTTAAGGTTGGATATGTGAAACCATTGGGGGTTGATTTAGTGAAATATGCTTAAGATAAGGCTAGGAGTATTCAAGCTAAGCTTCTAGCAGCTCAGAGTAGACAAAAGATGAATGTAGATCATAAGGTAAGAGACATGGCGTTTCAATCCAGTGAAAATGTTCTTCTTACGGTATCACTCATGAAAGGGGTGATGAGATTTCGTAAGAAGGGTAAGTTAAGTCCTAGATACATTGATCTATTTGAGATTTTTGAATGTGTGGGACCGGTAGCATATATATTGGCTTTATCTCCTAATTTATTAAGTGTTCATTCGGTATTTCATGTGTCCATGTTGAAGAGGTATCATGGTGACATGGATTATATCATTAAGTGTGACTCAATTGTGTACGACAAGGACCTCCAATATGAGGAGGAACCTATTGCAATTCTTGATCGTGATGTGCGCAAATTAAGGACCAAGCAAATTAAGTTCGTAAAAGTTCAATGGAAGCATCGTCCAGTTGGTAAAGCTACTTGGGAAATCGAGAGAGACATGCGAGACAAGTATCCCCAATTGTTCATCGATTTAGGTACTAATTTTTTCCTTCCTTAGCCTATTTTCTTAAGTTTTGTCACTCGGGGACGAGTGATGGGTAAATTGGTATCTATTGTAACGACCCGTTCCCATCGTTATAGAAAAACCAATGGAGGAAAATTTGGAGCTAGAAAACTTTTTCGTAGTATTTGGATTTTCCCAACCTTGTCTAGATTTGGATGAAATCGGAGTCCTTGAGGTGTAGGGAAATTGGTAACAATCGGGTGAAGTAATTATGATTTTGATTACATGAGTAGTTAAACAACTCGTTAAGGAATCCGTACGACTTTACGGAATTGAATTCGGGCAAGTAAAACTCCCGAAATAGATCTTAGCGTAAAGTGTATTTACTGAGCGTCGTGGGTTAGAGGTCTGTTGTGAAATGAGAATTTTGGAATTCTTGAAATAACTCTCTGTCTCGAGAATGCCGCTTTGGCACTGGATATTTGTTGCTTTGGTGGGGCCGTTGTGGCAGGTCTGACGCGAATTAAAGTCGTTAACAAACCCCTAAACGACCTCATTATGCACTTTTCGACTTTTTGAGCTAAGGAACGACTCCCAGGTGACTCCTACTCGTTTGTCACCATTCTTGAGGCTAAAGGTAAGCTTTTCACTCCCCGAATCCATTTTTAGATCCGTAAAACGTAATAGAATGGGTGAATATTGATGGGGGGAGGTTTTTTTTTTATAGATTCTATGGTGGAAGCAACCCTAATTTGGATAATTGGGATCATGAGTTCGATGTAGGGTTCATAGAATTGTTAGTAATCCGGGTAATTAATGATTGTTTATTGATTCCCGTATTATATTGATTGTTTGTAGACCAAGAACAAGCGAAACGAATCCGAAAAGGGAAGGATCAAGTTTCTTAGGGTTTCAAGCTTGTTTCAAAGTAGGTGATGGTTGTGATTCTATGATTGTGTGATGTATGCTTGTTCTTGCTTCATTATGATACTAGTATATGCATGAATGTTGCAATGTTGATCACACTTGTTGTAAATGAGATAGAGAATTGATGAATGCCATGAAATCATGACTTAAATGTATGATCTTGATGATATACTTGTGATTGTGATTGTGGGGTGTGAATGACAACGGTTGCCACGTTCCGGCATAACTAACTTGGATCGGTTGCCACGTTCTGGCATTAAAATGGGATCGGTTGCCACGTTCCGACATAAATATGGGATCGGTTGCCACGTTCTGGCATGCTAACTGTTTGGGTTTTGGTTCCATGAGAGGACCAATGATTTGACATAAGATGTGAAGTTGTTCGTAAATGTTGATGATATTGTATATGTTGATATGTATGCATGTAATTATAATGTTGTTTGACTTGTTTATGTTGCACTAGTGGGATAACCTCGTGATCCTACCAGTACATTGTGGTTGTGTGCTTGTGTACTGATTCTGCACTAGCTCTTATTTTTGTTGAGTATATGGCATCTTCAAGCGGTTATTAACAGACCTCGCTTAGAAGATCAGTGATCGTCACTTCGAATTCAAGGGTGAGCCAATTCTTCCAGGCTGCCATAGAATTCTCTTTCGTCTATGTCCACCATTTTCGGACTTAGACATTTGTTTTAGCTAGTTGATTAGTTCATTTGATTGGGATTGCATCCCTTCTTGTTAGACTTGGTTCATTGTTAGATGTTTTGGTACATTGACTTTCAGGTTCTAGGTTAATTCTTCTGCATTGTTAGTTATTATAGTTAGACTTTTGTCAGAGCTTATGAGAACTCTATTTTTATTTCCTTAGTGGTTGATTTAAATGCCTTAGTTTTTAGATTATTTGCTTGGTTGGGTTGTTGTAGTGGTTCTCCCACCGGAGTGTTAGTGTGGGTGCCAATCACGACGGTCTGGATCGTGACAAAAAAAATATGTTTTTCCACTGTGATTCATACTATATTCTAATCTATTTTAATTGTCATTTTAATAATTTCCTTTGATTGTAGTTGATAGTTTTATCGCGCACTATCAATTACACTTTGTTTGGATCATTATTATCCGTTATATTGTATTGTTACTATATATATAATGTTCGTTTTGATTATTACTTAAAATGTTTAGGGAACATTTGATATTATTATTATTAAACTTATTTTAAGAAGGTCTTCAACGACTACAAAAGGACCAAACCTACTAGATTAATTTTGTATCCCACTTTGATGGGTGCTAGAACTACGTCTCAATTTATGTAATACAATTCGTTTTTCGAGAGCCAAATAATTTAAGTTAGATCGAGAATTTACGCATGAAATCTTCAAAAAACAAATTAAATGAAATTTATATATTTGTAAACTATATAAAAAAAATACTATAAGTCACAATAGTTGACACTCCAAAATATTTAAAAGATATATATAAACTTTATGATAAAAAATAAATTTGTTTGAATCTCGATATCCGAAATGTGTTAGATAAAAAATAAATCTATTTGAATGTCGTTATCCAAAATATGTTACATAAATTAAAATCGATAGAATATTAAGTAAGCGCACATGAATTTAAGAATACCCCAATGATAAAGGGATGTAATTTAGTATTCTTCCTACTTTGTCTCAATAATTTATTTTATGCTAGCATATATTTTTTAGTACTCTCTTCTCTTTTTGTCTCAATCATACGTGACACTTTCTGCTTTTTGAGATTTAGATAATATTTTCTCCATTTTTTTTACTTGTTTAATTTTAATTTCTTATTTATCCTTTTTTATTTGTCATATTTGACAAATTAAAAAAAAAAGACAATATCTTTTTACTTATTATACAATCATTTTATTTAGAGAGTTAATATTTTTGAAAAAGATATAACCTTCTTAATGAGTAAATTGATTTTGAAAATTTATCAATTAATAGGGATAAAAATGATAAACTCACTATATCAATTTTATTTTTTTTAATAGGTCTGTTAAGTAAACAATGGACAAGTAAAATAAGGACAGGAAAGTATGATTTACAGTTTTCACTTTTTCAGATCTAAATTATGTAAAAATTTATTCATTTAATATATATAATATATAGATAGATATAAGAAAAATCGCAAAACTATAGTTATATTCACGTAGTTTTTTAACGGTGTGTTACTTCTTGCTCACAATTACATTGATACATTAGGGGAATATATACAAATAGAGACAAAAGTTTAGGACTTCTCCATATATATATATATATATATATATATATATATATATATATATATATATATATATATTTTATTTTTTATTTTTTAATTTTTTTTCTTATTTGGTGTTCGTTATTTGCATTGAAGTCGATTATTCTAGATTAGGACCGCATAGGGTCCATTCAAAGGGAAGCGGTTCCTATAAAAAAATCTCATACTCAAAATTCGAATTTAAGACCTCTAATTAAAAAAAAATGATTTCATCAACTGCACCACATTCGTCTATGATTGTTCTGCATAGGGGTGTACAAAATCGAACTGAACCAAATCGTAAACCGAGTCAAATCGAAAAAAACCCGAGTAGTGATTTGATTTGACTTGGTTTGGTATTGAAAAAAAAACCCGACTATATTTGGGTTGGTTTGGTTTTAAACAAAAAAAACAACCCGAGACCAAACCAACCCGACATTATATATATAATTTTAAAATTTTATTTTATACATTAAAATATTTACTTTGATATAATTTTTCAATATTTCTTATACTTTTTCATAGTTTTTATCTTTTAATTGATATTTTAAG